TTTTCTAATGTAAGGAGGTTTAGTGGTTTTGTCCAATAAGGTAAATAGGTGCTGAAGGACTCTCATAAGGTGCCGTATTATGGTAGTGGATGCAAAGTAGTGGTTTGATTACTGAAACATTTAATATTTAGGTATGAGTTCTTAAAGAGGTTTATACCTACTAAAGTTTAGTACCAAAGATGAAGTTTAAAGGTGTGATTAACATTAATTAGGTTTCTAGGAATCAGTATCAAACAAACGTAGCATGGAAAATATTACTGTTTTATATATTGAAATATCAGAAATATGCCACGTGTCATTTATAAGATATTCTTATTTACTTAAAATTTTACACGCTTTTTTAAAAAAACAGGGCTTGCCCAGTGTGCAAGAGGATAGGGGTTCAATTCTCTTTGGGAACTGTTTTTTTTTTTTTAAGGAAATTGGTTAAAAGAAAAAATTGATAAAATTTGAGATGTGTGGTGTGGTGTACTGGAGACCAGAAGTACGTCAAGAGGGGAGCGGCGAAGGGGGAGAGTCAAGCAAAATCCACTTCCGTTACACTTTTTCTGAAGGTCACCAATCTGAAATCGTTGATTTACTCCATAGAGCAGAACGCGCCTATAGAAGTGTAACTTCAAAAAGTTCAAACGGATAGCTTAACTTATAAGAAAGCTGTCAGCTGGTCTTTTTACACGGAGCAAGACGTCTTTACAAAATTACTTCTAGAATTTATTAAACTGGAAATCATGATCTGAAACTTGGCCCAGCCCTTCTTAAGACTTCAAACTATAATGCTGATCAAAAAAAAGTTTGTTTTTCGAAAACTCATAACACACTTTTGTTGACAAAAGTTGAGTCTCTTCTTACTTTTTTTAGGTTATTTTTTATCATGCAAACAACATGTTTTCAAGTTTTTTTACTCGAACTATCGGAAATAAGCTGATTTAAAGTATGTATCGTAATTGGTTCATAACATTTAATGGTTTAACTTTTGAGCACTGACGAGTTAAACACAGTTAAATTAACCGTGATGCAGTAGGCGGACATTTTCTTGCACGGTTAGTAAAACTAACTTTAACATGGTGTCTTTCGGGGGCCCCCCCTGGGTAACCAATTCCATGTAGTACAATGCATCATCTGTTAGTGCATTCAAAATGCGCATAACGCTTAAGGTAGTTTGGGCGGTTAGTACCGTACCTAGAGTAGGGTGCCATAAGGGCCCCAAAAAAATCAACACTTTTCGACGGTAAATTTTTCAATAAATATAGTTATTTTGATAAAACTAAAGTATAAGATCAAGTAATTGCCAGAAAAGTACCGTGAAATTATAACTGTAAAANGGGCGGTTAGTACCGTACCTAGAGTAGGGTGCCATAAGGGCCCCAAAAAAATCAACACTTTTCGACGGTAAATTTTTCAATAAATATAGTTATTTTGATAAAACTAAAGTATAAGATCAAGTAATTGCCAGAAAAGTACCGTGAAATTATAACTGTAAAAATTGGGAAATGTTTCGAGGCAAGCCAGATGAATATTTTATACTTTTCTTCTGATTTTCTCTTAACTTAAGTCGTTGACCCTATATTTTCAAGAATTTAATAGATTCTTTGTAAAAAAATACACGAGAACTATTTTGAATTTTTGAGGTTAATCAAGTACTTCTAGAATTATAGCCGTTTTAAGGACAATTCCCATAAGACTGCATGTTAAGTTGGTAAATTTTCAGTAGCGATATGCGAAAAAATTAAGTGGTTGACCCCAGTATTTTTTTATCGCAAATGAATTTGGCATACTTTATTTATCTAATTCCAGAATTTCAGAGGTTTTGATCAAGCCGATAAAAATCGCCCAAGCCACCTTAAATGTAGATTTATAAGGCGAGAAAAGTAGTAAAAGTTAAAATTTGGTGACTTATGACTACTGATGTCG